TTTTTCTTCTTTTTTTTTTTTTTTTTTTTTGATAAGAAGTTCATTTTATCACTAAAACAAAAAATAGAGTCTTGGCATAGAATATATTAATTTGTGTAAGATTTCTAATTCAATTTGACGCCATTATTCCATTTTTAAATTGTTCAATGTATATAATATTACTTTCACAATTCATGTGAAACTTCTTAATTGCCAATAAAAAATTTCAACATTTACTCTTTGAAATCACGTTTGAATAGCACGTGAATTGGAGCGTTATCATGTTGAAATGTAAAATTTGGTCCACCAATGTTATCATCATTCTCATCCAATACAATAGTTCTTGTATGTTTCGGCATTTGCCTTTGGAAACCACATTAGAGACGTCTTACCATTATAATCGAATGCAATCTATTGCACTACTCTTCGGTCTTACCGAACACGATGGGGGCCATAAACTGTTAATGCGAAAAATAAATTCGTCGAGCCAGGGATAATAACTTTCAAATTTATCATTTTTTCTACGCCAGGATTTCTCGTGACCGTACTGTCACGTCCTTTTTATAATTTTGTTGTAGTTATATCTAACTACCAATTCCAAGACTTGGTAAGTTTCTTTGTCGTAACGGCCCTTGCCATAATAAATATAAAATAAGAATAAAATTTAGGCCAAGGGTGGCCATAAGGAACGCGTCCTTTTGGCCTTGGCCTTACAGCCAAGTTCAACAAACGTATAAAACGTAATGTGAAGGACGCATTCCTGGGCAATACCGTTAGGCCCATAAGATAATTGTGAAAATTACTTTATGGGCCTAAGGCATCTTGGCCTAATATGAATTGCCTTCCCAATCACGTGATCGGGAAGGACACAATCAAGTCGGCCTTAATGAGGCATAGAACAACTTAGTGTAGTAGTAGTATTCTTACGTTCATCACTTATTTATTGTTTTAAATCATTTAAATCATTCAATTCATTAATCATTTAATGACTTAAATCATTTAAATCATTCAACTCATTAATCATTAAATCATTTAACTCATTCAACTCATTAATCATTAAATCATTTAACTCATCCAACTCATTAATCATTTAATGACTCAAATCATTTAACTCATCTAACTCATTAATCATTTAATGACTTAAATCATTCAACTTATTAATCATTTAATGACAAATCATTTAAATCATTCAACTCATTAATTATTAAATCATTTAAGTCATTTAACTCATTCAACTCATTAATCATTTAATGACTTAAATCATTTAAATCATTCAACTCAAACTTTGTTTTTGACGAATGAATTAAGATCTAATCCAATTCAATTTCATTTAACCTTCACTCTTGAAGAGTGAACTAAAATCTAGCCAAACCTAACTAATCAAACCTTTAACTTTGAACCAACCACTTCATTCATTAATGTTGAAGGTAGCGAGCTACCGATCAAATTTTCATTCAATACGTTGATTCAGATCGGCACGCTGCAACTATCTTCTCCAAAGTTTCTGTTCATTTTTATTCCTTCTTGATCATGCAAATCATGCCAATAATATTGGAAATCGTTTGAGCCATTCAAATCAAACCTTTCCTCATCTGAGAAAATTACGATGGTTTTCCATTTGTCGGTCTACATCATGTGATCTCGTGCAAATTTCAACCTTGCTTCTTTATGGATTTTCGTTAGAGGTGACTTT